GTCTCATATATAGTTACTATTTAACCAATTCCAATTGAATATTAAATATCCTGTACTCTGCTATTTTGCTATTTTAACTAAAGATGGAAGTGGTGTGCTCTGTTATTTGTTAATGCTGTGATATTCTGAAAGGTAGAGTTTAGTGGGTACAAGTTGGGAAAATAATGGAAAGCTGTTATAAATTGGGGTGTGTTTGAACATAGCTTAATGATTGGTTCAGACACAGATTAAGCAAAGTTTCATCCAGTTGAGAAGGAGAATCAACTCCTGCTGTTCATAGTGTTCAAGGAAACTCTAAAATGTAATTCGTTTAGAAATGAGCATGTAAATGTTTGGTAGCCTGACATGCAAGAGTACTTCAAAAAGTTTGTGGAAAACTACAAAAGATAATACGAATCTTTCCATGAACTTTTTGAGGACCCCACCCCCCACCCCGTATAAGAATAAGTAAGTTTCTTTAGAGGAACTGATTGCTATTTAGTCAAAACTTGTTGTCAAAATAGTTTTATTTCATCCAAGTTTGATGATAAATAAAAACAAAGATATTCATTGTCTCTCTGCTGTCTTTTACAGTGCCTCAATTTCCTAACCGAAATCATGTTTTCTTTCTACAATACCCTAGCACATAACTGAGTCTGTCTCTGCCTCTTTTTCATGCACATGCATACAACACAAATTTTCAGTAATTTTTAGCTGAGGATCCCTTAAAAATGAAAATTTTCACCACCATGATGCTATTGTCATTAGTATTCAGTATTTTGAGTATTTTTATGGGTACTTTATACTTTTCACTGGGATCTGTCAAATGCAGGGATTGGTTCCTGTTTGCTACTCACTGTTTAGGACCCCACCCCACTCCCCAGGTTAGGTCCAAAACTCATACAGCCATGAACAGCTATGGATTTTTTTTATATTTTTTTAAACATAAGCTCTATCTCTGTAGAGCTATAGATTTTTATTACAATTATATCCTCTTAAGGATAGGTTTATAAAGTTAATTTAATTGGCCAGGTAACACACATAGAGTAAGTCTCTCCCTTGAACCTTACCCCAGGGGAAAAAAATATTTCTAGTAGGAGATTTTTGTTTTAGTATTTTACTTGATTATAATAACTTTGGAGTAATCATACTTCAACAATTTTTTTTTAACTCTGTCCTCATATTAGGTATGCTATTTCCTTTCTTTGGCACGAATCACACTACTACTTGAGTTTATGTATAAGTGACTTATTTTGTATAAACCTATTTTTAGCAATTTCTAACTTAATGAATTGGTCAAATATTGTAGAATCTGAAACCTCATGCTTCGTGTTTTTAGCCTGCAGTATATCAACTAGGTTTGACCATGTTGAACAGAACATAAGAAACTAGACCTGTGGCCGGCCCCTGGCTCACTCGAGAGAGTGTGGTGCTGATAACACTAAGGCCACGGGTTCAGATATTATATAGGGATGGCCAGTTGGCTCTCTGGCTGAGCGTGGTGCTGACAACACCAAGCCAAGGGTTGAGATCCCCCTTACTGGTCATCTTTTAAAAGAAAAAAAAAAGAAAGAACTAGACCTACTATATTTGATACTACTTTTACTCAGTTAAAAAGAGATTAGATACCAAAAATTCACTGTACAGTGGAGAAATTCAGAAATGGCAGAACTTGATACAGACCCAAAGAAAAAGCAAATAATGGGCAATTAAGGAGAGATCCAGAGCTATACTTTGGGACTGAGGAACTAAGGTTATTAAAATTTTATCAGTTTTCACTTTTAACATCTGGACTTTTTGAAATCAGTTTTAAAAAGTAGAATTTGCTTTTCATCATTTCACTTAATGACTAAGACAGTGCTTGTTTTATAAAACAAGGAATATGTAGTATAAAATATATTTGATGGCTTGGACATTCCATGTGAGCAAGTAATTACCTTCATTTACTGTTATCAGAAAATATTAGATGAATCTATGCTCTCCTCAGCTATTATTTAAACATTAAAATAATTTGGAAAAAAATGAAGCTTTCTAATTTCCCAATTGCTCAATTTATCATTGTGCACTTAGTATATTATGTGCCTCTAACACCTGACCACGATGCCTGGTAGCAAAAGTAAGGAAATGAATTCTTTCAGTAATGAAAACTGAAGAATGAGTAAATTAACTCTATTATTCTTTTAAGGTTAAAAAGGAGATCTAACGCCAACCATGAAAGATCCAAGTCGCAGCAGTACTAGCCCAAGCATCATCAATGAAGATGTGATTATTAACGGTCATTCTCATGAGGATGACAATCCATTTGCAGAGTACATGTGGATGGAAAATGAAGAGGAATTCAACAGACAAGTTAGTTTTATATACAAACGTGTTCTTTTTCGTTGCCCTTTATAGCCTTCAAATAATATGGTTGTACTTGTTTTTGAAATGTGTTTTTTAATTTGGTCTTTTATATGTAAAATATGTGAATTTATGTGCCACCACTCCTATTTTATTTGGCTACCAGTTACTGCCAGGTTTAACTGCTCACTGAAATAACTTGGGAAGCTTGTTTCAGGGTCCCACCCTGGAGATTCTGATTCAAGAAGACTAGAGTGGAGCCTGGGAAACTGTTTTTAAAAAGCTCACCAATGGTTCCAGTGAGCAGTTGGGTTTGGAAACCACTGCCTTACACCAATTAGATAGCTATATTACAGTGAAACTGAAGAGAATTCAGGAATCAGGAGCACATAGGCACAGAGGAGTGCAGAATTACACTGTTTTTCACCTGAGGTCCTCAATCTGATCAGCCTGAGAATTCTGACACCACTCTTCTCTTTAGAGAACTCTCATACACTGATAAATGTTGTCTTTTATTCCTGTATCTCTTGTGTTTGTTCCCATCTTCCTTCTAATTCTTCCCCTAATCATTGCTTTGGTAATCAGTAACCAGCTTGACTTCTCCATGTCCAGTGATGGGTATTCAAGGGTAAAACAGTTTAGTCTTATTTCACTGAGAACCAATTGGGTTGTTTTGTTTTGTTTTGTTTTAATTACCCATGCCCTGACCCTACCCGCTAGAGATTTTATTTCCGTCATTTTTGAGTTGCATTAGGGTTTGTATAATTTTTAAGTATCACAGGTAATTCTGATATGCATTCATTGAAGAGAGCACTCCTTGTTACTTCTTCCCTGCCACCCTCAATGGAAAAAAGAATATTCTGCTAATACAAGTAAAGACATAGGAAAAACTCTAAACAGATTTTTCCTAGGTCTTTATGGTAAACATTTTTTTTCCTTAGCACAGAAGCTGAGGAGAAGGTATGATGTATTTTTTAAAGGGCTTAGTTCAAGATATTTTAAGCCATTCCTAGTGATGTCTTACCAAGTGTGCTATGAATTATCGTTTATTTATTGTAAACTTAGATAGAAGAGGAGTTATGGGAAGAAGAATTTATTGAACGCTGTTTCCAAGAAATGCTGGAAGAGGAAGAAGAGCATGAGTGGTTTATTCCAGCTCGAGATCTCCCACAAACTATGGACCAAATTCAAGACCAATTTAATGACCTTGTTATCAGTGATGGCTCTTCTCTGGAAGATCTTGTGGTAAAAAGTTATTTTTCATCTTTTTAAAACCTAGCTTATCTTTCCCATAAGCAGAAAAGCCAGCTACTATCTGTTTAGAAAGAGTTCTGTATCTCTTCCCCCTTCAGAAATTGTGCTGTTTCTTACAGTGGAAGCAGAGGCTTCTCTGTCTCACTTAAGACATGGAGTGACTTCAGGCAACACTATGGAGCTACTCTTAGACCAATAATGAACTTCTTGCCTCTGCTTTTAGTCGTGATGTTTTTTTTTTTAGTCTTGATATTGCCCAGGATACTTAAATGTCTTAAAGAATTAATCCAAAAAATATATAGTATTACCATGTGACTTGCCTATACAATAGTAACTTGATGGAGAAGTTTTGCTCTTTAATCTTATCCTAAACATTTGGTGAAATATGCAGAATTTTATCTGAAAGTAAAATTTTAGAGATCTTTTCCTGACCTAGGGTTTTGTTGAGGTACCCAGTTTGTTTGGAACTGTTATTTAATAAGGAATTTTACAAGTTCTTGGCAGAAAAGGGACACAAACCTATATTTGTATTTTTAATTATTGTCAGGGTCTCATTGCTCATGATATATTTGCAGTAAAAAGTTTTTTTCAGGAATTGTGATAACTAAACATCAGCACTAGAGTACAACCTCATGAGTCCACTAAAATTAAAATAATTTTCTGAAGCCAAACAGTTTTTTCTAAGTCTGAATGTTAACCTTTCTTTCCGTGTTTACAGTCTCTAGTTGCTTCTACAAGATAGTTCTCTGGAATTTGCCCACTGGACTCTGAAGTTTTTTTTGTGATTGTCTTCTGGTTACTGTGCAGTGGTTTCCTAATCTGTACATCATTACCTGTGAAGCATTAAAAACAAAAATCAGTTTATCAGCTGCATCCCATACCTGGAGAATCAATCTCCTAGATATTTTAATTTTTAAAAAGCACTCCAGAGAATTTATTATATCGCCAACCTGCCCAAGTCAGGCATTTGGAAACCATTCTTCTAAAGGACTGTGTAAAGAACACTGAAATTTACATTGTTGTATAGCCTTTGTTGCAGTAAATGATGATAACCCAATTAAGCCAGATGTATGATCTGAATAGTGTATGGGGATATATTTGCTTATGGCTATGTTATTCACTCCACAAATAATCCTTTTTGTCCTAATGAGTAAAGCCCTTTGCTAGGCATAATGTATAACTTTAATCTGGATCCAGTATAATTCCACAGCACAGAAACTGGATTGCTCAAGTCTATTTGAAATTACTTTGTTTCGTTCTCATTCTTCTGTAGCTGCCAAAAGATTGTACATTCAAGAACACTGAAAATTTTTTATTTAAACTCTACACATTAAAGTTAGATATATTTCCCTTGGGAGAAGGTAGAATATATCCTGTCCAAGGAAGTTGCTTTGTATAAATTATGAAACTAAAATTATTACTCTGACATGTTTAATATTGTGCCATTGGTCTTGAAGTAAGTGACATGTAGGGGTCAAATTCAGTGTAAAAGCCTGCCAGTTTACCTACATTTCAGCCCCTGGAATATGTCCTGGTTTCTTTTCATCTTTATCAACTTGCACTCCAAAATGTGATAGAGGAGAATTTCCAGCTATTCTTCCTATACACTGACATGTCTACTTAGGAAATTAAGGATTTAGAGACCTAGAATAATGTTGGTACAGGTCTCTAAGGCTCTTAGAGACTTTGGCCCATTCCTCCCTTTTTTTGTTTAAACTGATGCAAAATGGAATCCGAGAGAGGGTGACTTGTTTGGGTTTACACAGGAAGTTAGGGACAGAGGTGAGATTTTGGACTTAGATGTCTGGCTCCCATATACGTTTCTTTTCCTGGTACATACCATGCTTCCTGTGGGAATTAGAAGACAGCAGTTGTAGAAAGACAGCTCCATATTTTCAATTGGGATCATAAAGTAAAATTAATCCATCAACAGTTCTCCAGTTACTTTAATCATAATTTCAACTCTTGTTTAACATGTTTGCATGGTAAGAAAGTCAGGTATCATAGATTAACAATTCCTTGTTCAGTGCTATTCGTTTAGTTTATGTGAGTTAGTGGGTTTCTGGTTACACCTAAGCAAACTTAATTTCAATTCCTACTTTTTTAGAAAGTTAATTTAATTTGATATAATATGATATATAGCTTACATCTAGTTCCTCCTTTTCCTGCCATAGATTTTTTGGGGGTTAATTGTAACCTTACAATCTGAGTTCTTACTTTTGTCGTGTGTTTTGTTTTTTTGAGGGGGCATATGTTTTTGCCTATGGATCTAGGTTGAATGCTTCTGAGTATCTGAAGCCATCTGTTAATGAACTTGCTTTTATATGTACTTATTTTCCAGGTCAAGAGCAATCTGAATCCAAATGCAAAGGAGTTTGTTCCTGGGGTGAAGTACTAAAATATTTGAGTAGACGGGGCCCTCTTTTGGTGGATGTAGCACAATTTCCACACTGTGAAGGCAGTATTAGAAGACTTAATTGTAAAAGCTCTCTCTTGTCACTGTGTTACACTTATGCATTGCCAAAGTTTTTGTTAGTCTTGCATGCTTAATAAAAGTGCTGAGACTGTTATTAAGTAAAAGCTGTCAAACATTTACTGAAACTAGAATTGGCCCCATGGCTTGATGTGAAGACAGCGAGGAAAGAAGCACCAGTCAAGTTGTGACAAAGCACCAAGTCAAATGACCTCTAAATTGTACTAAATTGTCTTCTTTGAGGCTAAACTGGTCCCTTAGGGTTAACTAATACTTGTAATGTCTAAACTTGTTTTAAATTTAAATTAAGTTCCAATTGTTAAGCCGATTTCTCACTTTAGACTTAAATTTGCATTTGTCCACATTAAAAAGAACCTCCTTTTTCTGAAGAAATTCTGTTAATTGAGATAATTCATTATAGATAAGTATGTCTTTGGTTACTGAAGTTACAAGGTAGTGATCAGATAGCGAGCTAGTCCTGGCTTTTCTGGTATGTTATCATGTTAGAAATATTGAATTCTACTCCTAATGTTACATCTGAGGAAGTATGTGATTCGAGAATTGCATCTTTTTCTAAGGATTCATTGCATCATAGCTATACCTGTGTGAAATCTAACATATGATGAACACCAACCCATAGTTCAATTGAACAAAGATTGTAACATGATTTGAATGGTGCTTTTCCTTGCTTTGTTAACCATCACGACAGTAGTCTGCAGCACAACTTTTCTTTTAACAAAGCTAGAACAGTTTTGGCTTCTTAAACTTCATATTTGGGTAGGTTAAGCTGCCATACGTGTTCAGTGTGAATAGTGTTTAAGTTGAAAATATTGTAAAAAAATTATATTTTTTCAAAAATATTTAAAAAAATAAAATAATAGTAGAACTGAGCTGATGGTTGTGTTTATTGGTGCTGGAATTTAGACCTTCCAGTGGTGATACTCACTTTAGTACCTCAGGACAACTTTGCTGGTAAAATATGCTAAGAAATCATGTTTTGTTATATTCCAAAGTAGTAAGTATGTTGCTGTGCAAGGATCTGTCCAAAATACAGCAGTAAAGTAAACCCTGTTGACCTGCCCTTGCTTTTTATCACCTCAGGCTGCAATGTTAGAGCAGTTGCAGATAGCCATGGTTAAGAAACTTTATGGTTGACCAATATAATGATGTCCTTACTCTAGTGTAACCTCCATTGGTTTCTGTCCTTCACAAGGCTTTTCTTGACCTTGTTGGGTTGAAGAAGATTAAGAAGGCCATGTAGTCAGTTCTGTTCACATTCTTTCTGGGGGTCGGGGGGGTCCTTGGTGTGAGCACCTATGCCCCAGTGTTTTTCAGTATCCACCTTACAAACTAATAAATAGATTGGTTTTTAAAGAATCTCTGAGGCAGAGACAATCATGTTTGATTCTTGTTCTTTTTGGAACCATGTAATGCCCAGTTGCCTTTGTTCTCTAATAGTACCACGAGTGATATGACAAGCTGTTAAACATATGATGCTTACAGATCTTTTCTCTCTAAACTCAGACAGAGGCAAATGAGTTCATTTCCACATACTGCCAAGTTATAGTGCTTAACTAGAGAGTCAGGCATCTACATTACGGGTAGTGATGGAAGGTTTCAGAGCATCAGCTATCTATACTTTATAAAGCCCTAGGGACAAATGATCACCTCATCAGGGCCTGTACTGGCATAGTTTTAGGATAACTGAGGTCATCCAATTTCAGAGGGTTTTAATTTCATGCCCACTATTGAAACAAGGCAGTGTATATGAAAGGATTGTTCCTGTTCTTGTGCTGTGTGTTTCTCAACCTTTTCCATGTCAAATATCAAAGTGATATTTGTTTAGCATACTGGAATGCAAAAATGAGGCTGCACATGGCTGGAGTTATTAGCTCATGGACTCCAGTTGGCCCAGATTCTGCTCAGGTATTTAGAAGGCTGAGGAGATCATTATTTCAACATACTTGTAACCTCTTAGTGACCCACATGAATTGGGAAGTTCTGTTTTCACTATAAAATGGCTAAGGAATTCCACCCAAAATCCATATATTGACTTTTTACCCAGATCACCTTCCCCTTGAGGACAATCATAAAACAGTTCACAAAAATGGAAACTGAATAGCTTGGTTTTTCTTTGGTTACAGCATAAGAATATTTTGATTACTCAAACCTTCCACAAAAGCCGTAGACATATTCTGGAAGTAATTTTTCAGACCTTGGTGCACACAGACCCAGTTTCTGTATTTTCTGGAGTGTCTTCTGGAACTGGAAGCTGATTTTCTGACCTTAAAGAAAATCCTTTGAAGACTGGGCAGATAGGAATGTACTTCAGAAAGGCAATCCTTCTTATCGTGCCCATCCCAAAGGGAAAGTCATAGCTCTTGAGGCTGGTAGACATCTCACTCTTGGCATGGGCTCCAGCTTTCCACTGTGTCAGACCTCGTTCCTCTGGGCTCCCTGGAAGAGGATACTGGGGTCATTTACCAGGGCCAGAAACCCTCTGCTACCTCCCATAACCTAGTCCTAAGGCAGTCTTCTGGAATCAAGTGTCTTTCTTAAATATCATCTGGTCCTAAAAAGTTGAATCTGGTTTCTGAGCTCCTGACAGCCAGAGCTCTAGGAAACCCTAAAAGATACTAGTTATAATTTGTATTTATTGCTTAACTTCTGCAGTGTGCCAGGCTCTGTGCTAAGTGCTTTTTCATTATTTCATTTTTTCAAAACACCCCCCTGAGAGGTATATAGGTACTGTTACATGAAAATTTTAAGATGAAGAAAGGTAGAAAGGTTAAGTAACTGTCAGCCTACATCTGTAAGTATGAGTCTAGTGTGTGCTGAGCCCATAGGCACCGAATAGTACACAGATTGTGCTCTACGGGGTAGGGAAATGTATTTTGAAACAATCAGTATTACTATTCAGTATTATGATTCCGTATTAGGAAAACAAACTCTTTGTTTTTATAGTACAAACCTCAAAAAGTCCAGCTAAGTAAAATCTTTGATGGGGAGTAGGGATACACCAAAGAATTCTTAAAACTACGAATTCTATAGGTGGGGGAGGGGCAGATGAGGTTTTCACAAGAGGGCTGGGGTTGACAAAGACTGAAATATTCTTAGTAAATCTAACAGGAACCAGGGATTTCTACATGCTGGCAGCATTGGCTGAGAATAATCCATGACTAGTGCAAACCAAATGTGTCCCAAAATTTCAGAGGGGAGGGCTGAAGTCCTCAGGGAAGACTACCTGGAGGAGGTACTGTTTGAGCTGGGGCTGGCTGCACAAAGAGCACAAGTGGCACAGTGGAGGGGGAAGAGCCGTAGGTGTGGCACAGGACTTTCATCCTGGTGTCTGATTACCCTCCCACCACTCCCAGGACATACATAGCAGCTAGCCCAAAGCTCCCTCCCTCTGACAGGCCTGGAAGCCTACCTCTCCATGCCTATGTGCAGTACCTTCTCTGCTTCTCCAAGTCCCCTTCTTTCCCCTTAGGCCCCACCCAGTCTCCCTCATCCAGGAAGACCTCCAGGTGACTGCAGCCCAGCTTCATTGACTTTATTCCTTATATAAACCCAGTTTTACTTTCTATCTTGTGCCAGGAGCTCCTCAGAACAAACCATGATTTATGCTTTGTGCACATCCTCTGTCTAATTCAGGGTCAAGCTGCTAAGCTCTACCAGCATTTGCTGAACTAAATTAACTACCCTCTAAGGTTGGGCTGTGGATAGGTAAAGAGAAAGAGCAAATGCAAAGTGGCCCATCAGCAAGTTAAGGGCTGGAAAATGCTTTTGCTATTTCCATGGTTAAGGACTGGATTCTGAGCCAGCCAGACCTGGGTTTGAATTCAGGTTGTATGCTCTTAGGCAAATGACTTTAACTACTCTGAGCTTCAGATTCCTCATCAATACATATTGAAGGACTTTGAAAACTGTGGCATAACACCTATAATAATCCCTGGCAGGGATGGTTGCTGATGTTCAGTTGGGTTGAAGGATGGAAGTGTGAGGGACTCAGCCAGGCTGTCATTAAAGATGTCTGGGTAGCTTAGTCTAGCTACTCACATCACAAATCTCTCAGAATACAGCAGCGCATCCAGGCTGCTACTTTACTGTCTCAGCACAGCAGGATGGACTGCTCCAGCACCCAGCCCAGCTTCCTCTAAATGGGGAGTGGTGGGCCGAGCCCGTGGCGCACTCGGGAGAGTGCGGTGCTGGGAGGGCAGCAGCGCTCCCGCCGCGGGTTCAGATCCTATATAGGGATGATCGGTGCACTCACAGCGCTCACTGGCTGAGCGCGGGTGCGGCCGGTCTCAAAAAGGACAAAAAAAAATTAAAAATAAATAAATAAATAAATTGGAAGTGGTGAGTACTATGGTGAGGTAGCAAACCCATGCATCTTAAGAGACAGCTGCTACCAATAGTTCCCTCATCTGAGTCTGCCTGAAATCCCATGGGGAGCCCTGGCCCTTCCCCCACCCCACTTCCAACCTACCAAGCTATGTGCAGCCTCTGACTCCTATGCTTTGTGAATGTGAACACTTGGATTCAGAGAGAGGGATGTAGGCAGGATCTGTGGCTGTGTTCAGGCTGGTAAGTGGCTGGAGAAGGAGGGCCACCTTGCTACTTCCGCCACTTATGTCCTTATAATGATAGAGTCGTTAACTCCTGTCTCCACGGAGCTTTCACCAGTCTTCCAGCCCAGGTCCCTGAAACCCTCCAGCAGAGGCAGTGTGGTGTGGCTGGGACACAGGTCATTGACTGTGTCAGATGGATGTTGTTAAGATCCCAGATGTGCAGCGTTTTAATTTTGTGACTATGACTTTGTGGTCAGTTTTTGAGGATTCGGTAAATATCTTCTTGTTTTGGGGTTTTTTTTGGCAGCTGGCGGGCAAGGGAATCCAAAGCTTTGACCATGGTGTTATCAATGCAGCGCTCTAACCAACTAAGCCAACTGGCCAGCCAGTAAATGTTTACTTATTATTAGATCACCCGGTGACATCTCTTAAATACATTTACTGGGCACATATGTGTGGGCCAGGGGGGGTTCTCAGGGATTCCACAAAGTATGCTCTATGATCCCTGCAAAATGCTCTAGTACCAAAGGAAAATGTCAGGGGCTTTTCAGTAGCAACCATGGCAGGCTGCTGCCGTACTTGGATTTTCCAAACAAACTGATACTGCATTTATATCTATGCTATTCTAAGAAAGCAAAGACACAACTTAGCCCAGTGGCTATTAGGAAATGGAGAGAAGAATTTTCAGGGCCTAAGAGGTATGTCTGTGCATTGGTCTTTCCCTCCACCCAGCAGGCTCACCACCATACCATCTGTTCATGCTGCTCCCTGCAGGGCATGCATTGCATGGGACCTGGCCACAGCTCTAGCTCAAGGGCCATCTGTTGGAATGCACTGAGCCCAGGCTAGTTCTGTTTTCCTCCCAGGGCTGACCCATACCTGGAACTGTGTTGTCCAGTATGAAAGCAAGGCACCCGCCTACAAACATCTCCGTGGTCAGCAGCACAGTCAGAATCTGGTCCACTTCAGGAATGCCTGTGGAATGGGCCAAGGGCCAGTGGGCGTCATGGCCCTACCTAGAGAGCAGGGCTCAGGGGGTTACCACTTTTGCAGCCTCCTGAATTCCTTGAGTAATCATGGCAATAAAATGGTACAAAGCCTTGACTTTCAAGCCTAGCTGTACCTCTTTCTCTCCCATCTATGGGTCCAAATCCCAGTTCTTCCAGTTGCTAGTTGACTGGGACAAATCACAACCTCTGAGTCTCTCGTTTCTCATCTCTAAAATGGAGATGAAGGCTGGCCAGTTAGTTCAGTTGGTTAGAGCGTGGTGTTATAACACCGAGGTCATGGGTTTGGATCCACATACCAGCCAGCCACCAAAAAAATAAAATGGAGATGATAATACTGTCCATCTCGTGGAACTGTTTTGAACATTAAATGAGCATATATAAAGCTCAATACCTGTCCACAGAAAAGTAAATAAAGGACAGCTGCTAATTTAGCCCCTCAGCTGCTGACTAATATCAGAGTTGGGTAGGATTTGTGGCTCTAGCTGTGTGGAGCCTTTGAGGAAGTGGGATGTGCTTAGTCTTGGGCCCACCCCACCTTCCCCACCTCTGAATATAGTAGACAGTGGGAGGCACCTGTGTTAATAGCGCCAGGGTTGGACTCCAGGTAATTCGGCAACGTAAGCCCAAAGAACATGGAAAATCCGAGCACGAACAGGTTGCGGGAAGAGTTCATGTCCACGAACTGCAGGTTGGACAGCCCCACAGCTGTAATCATGCCTGCGGACACAGGAGAACCGCTGGAGGCGCTGTGCGGCCGGGTGGGTCCCACGCCCGGGCATGAGCCAGGCACTCACCGAAGAGGGTGCAGAACATGCCCCCCAGGATAGGATCAGGGAGCGAGGCGAAGAGGGCCGTGAACTTGCCGATGGTGCCCAGGACCAGCATGATACCCGCTCCGTACTGCACCACGCGTCGGCTGCCCACCTGCCAGGGGGCCAGGGGCGGAGCTAGACCCGGAGGCGAGGTTGGGGCGGGGTTAGTTCCGGGGGCGGGGCCTGTCATAAGAGCTAGGCATAAACGGGCTGGGGCTTGATGCAGGGGCGGGGCCTCTGAAAGACAGTGCGGCTAGACCAAAGAGGGCACTGGGTTGGGACGGGGCCTGCAGTACATGAAATGGGGGCTGGACTTTGTGCTGCTCTGGCTCGTCCCTGCACCTTGGTAATCCCCAGGACGCCAATGTTGGGACTGGAAGAGGTGGACCCGTTTCCTGTGCCCAATAGCCCCGCGATAATGCAGCAGATGCCTTCGGTGAAGATGCCCCTGTAAGGAAAGGGCGAGGGGAGGGCTCTCTCTCTGCACCAGCCTGTGCCCTTCCATGGCCCTGGCCAGCTGCCCGCCCTCTCCAGGGCTGTGCGTGTTGCAACTTTCCACCCCAGGAGAGTAGTACTACTCCCCATTCCAGGCCAGATGTAGGTCCAGCAGCCAGAAACCCAGGTTCAAGTGCTAGTCCTGGTGCCCTGGCATGTTCTCTCTTGAGCAATTCTGGGCTTCAATTTCCTCATCTATAAAATGGGGGTAATAATGGTACCTGTCTCAGAGTGGTTAGTGGAGTTGCATGAGAATACACATTGAGAGCTGGGCACATGGAAGGGTTGTCAATGACTGTGACTTCCCTCAGACTCCATTATTGCCTCAGCTACTCCCAACAATCACAGAGTGAGTAATGAGAGCATCCCCATTTCATAAACAAGGAAAATGAAGTCTGGAGAGTGTTAGCGACTTGCCCAAGTGTACCCCTCTGGGACCCAACCCTGTCTCTATGTTTGTTTCCTGAGTGGTCCCTGAAGGAATCGGATATTGATTGAAGAGAGCAGATGGGCATACCTGTTGATAGCATGTACTGGAGGGGGTGGCGCACCAGCCAGGCGGGCACAAGCGTAGTAATCTCCGATTGACTCAATAATGCCCGCCAGTGTGGCACTGAACATTCCCAGGACAGCAGCCACAGTCACTGTGGGCAGGCCCCACTGACCTGGGCCAGGGGGAGAGGAGGATTCAGTGAGGAGATGGTGGTGGGTCAAGAATGGATAGAACCATAGTTGACAGGGAGAGGGGCAGGCAAGCGGACTGCAAGCTGGGATGGAAGCTGTACAGTTGTGAGAGCTGATTTGGGTCACTCAGAGTCATGAAGCTGGAGTGAGGCTTTGTCTGAGTAAAATATCACTCTGCTTGGCACACTATAAATGTGCAGCTAGTGTTAGCTGTGTCATCAGCTGGATTGCGGTTATCAGGGGCCTCACAGGTGGTCTCAGTTGGAGGCAGAGGGGCCCAAGTGGGGTCACTCACATGGGTAGGGGATGCGGATCCAGGGTGAAATAGCCACGATGTCCCCACGGGCATCGGTTCGTGCCTGGTAGCCATAGGCTGTTGGGTCTGTGGGCAGCACATCCGTCAGAGTCAGGACATAGCAGAGCAGCCACACAGTCATGATGGCCAGCACAATCTGAAGTGGGGTGGGGTGAGGGATGCACTGAAGGCACTGGAGGTCTTGGTCCAGGCTAACCTGCTTCTACTTCAGCCCTGACCACAGTCCCAGTCCTCGCCTTTGCCCCAGCTGTCACTCAGACCCCGGCCCCAATACCTACTCCAGCCTCTAGCTGGGACCTCATCTCTGCTCTGGCTCTAGCTCCCATGCTGTCCCTGCCCTTGACCCCACCTTGGCTCTAGGCACAGGTCCAGCCCTTGCCCTAGTCCCAGCCCCAGCCGCCTGCCAGCTCCTCACAGGAAACATCTTGAAGATCTGGATGCGGAGGAGAGTGAGGCCCTTGCCCCAGCGGTAGACAGGCAACAAGAAGGTGAAGTTGCGCAGGTACTGGGAGAAGAGGACCATCAGGAGAATGGCGCTGGGGACAGAGGCACCAGGAAGAGGTGGCTGGTAGGCCAGGCTGGGGCCAAGAGCCAGGACTAAGGGGGCAGGACATGAAGAGGCACGGGTGGGGGGGCACTGAGGCTGGGCAGGGATCAGGCCTGATTCCTGCTCACCAAGCTGAGATGCCCCAGTGGGAGCCAGCTCGGTCACCAGCAGCTTGAAAGACGGAGAGGCCAATGAGGGAGACAGTGGGGGTGACCGTGAGAGGCCCAATATAGCTGAGCAGGGCCCCAGGCAGCCCCATCAGCCCGATCACCACCTCCACCATGCTGGACACCATAATTGCACCCTGGACCTGGAAGAGCAAAGATCAGCTATAAGTCACTATGTAAAGGCCATGACCTGGCCACTAATAGGATGAAAGCTCCTGGACTACCTCCTCAAATACCCCAACTTAGCAATGACCCTTACACCCATCTAGCCCTTCCCTCTTGTCCCAGTCTCTTCTGCCCTCACATGCAAACCCACCTCCCGTATCCGTGGGTGCCAGATATGAGAGGTGTTCAGGGGCAAACTCCAGTTACCGTAGATCTCCTCTAGGGGCAGAGAAAGGGACACACACACACACAAACAGGCAACAGAGACAGAGGGAGAGGAGATGCTGCCATGAATGCACCCTGGTGTCTGGACAGTTGCCTAGACCTCCAGGCCCCTGACCCACCTTCTCTTCCAGAGCAAACCCCAGAAGTGTGCCTACCTTCCGGGGGGCATTTCCATTTCTCCAGGGCCAGGATGGCTTTGGCTGGAACCAGAAATGCAAAGGCGCTGGCCTGGAACAGTGGCAGCCTGGAGGAGAGGCACAGAGCAGCAAGGACAGGGGTGGGGAGGGGAGGAGAGTTATAGACACAGGGAGAGAGGGGCACAGAGAGAGCGATGGAGACACACAGACGGGCAGGGGTAGAGGCAGGGCAAAGGGAAGTTGTGAGGTCCCAGGTAGGACTGTGTAACATTTTGGGGGGCCCAAGGGAGAAAACAAGTGAAGTCTCCAGTTTGAAACCTGCCCCCTTTTCTCCTCAACACCAGCTCCTGCGCTGTGACAGACCACATGCACAGAAGTAGACAGCTCAGTTCTTGCCTCCGAGCTCCACTCACAACTCCCCGCAACCCCACACCACTCAAACAACCATCCTTTCATCACTGTCACCTAAGCCTAGGGCTGTGCACACAGGTGCAAGGAGCCCCCAGGAGTATGGACTGTTGAAAAGGCCCGCACCGGCTCTGGAAGCTGGCTCATGGCCAGCCATTTGGGCATGGAAGCAGGTGGTCCTGAGTATTTGGAGTAGGGCTTAAAAGGGGTAGAGCCCAGCCTAGGACATGTTCCCTTAAATTTATATTCCTTGTCCTTGAGGAGCACCAGAGCAGGCCCCTTAAATCAAGGGGCCCAGGGCAGGAGCCCAGCTGCCTAGCTCTAAGGCTGGCCTAGGGGCAGGAGTAGCAGGCGAGGACAGATAGCGGCCTTCTTGTCCTCTGAGAGGGCCCACCTGCTCCTGCTATGATGTGGGTCACAGTGTGTGTGTGTGCACGTGTACATGCATGCACGTGCTTGAATGTGTAGTGTGCAGGGCAGGGGGCAGGTCGGAGGGGGCAGCTCACCGGATGCCCAGTATGGTCTGTATGAGAGTGGTGATGCCCACACATGTGAAGATGGTGCCGATGAGCTGACTGACCATGTTCTGGTCCTGGCCCACACACAGCGCCTCAGCCAGGAGGAAGGGCACAGCGATGGTGCCGCTGAAGCAGGTCAAGTAATGCTGGGGGTGGGGAAGGGTGAGTGCAGAGTGCATGAGGCAGGAAACATGAGTCACAGGAAACAAGGGCACCCTAACTGCCCTCGGACCTGTCTCAGTGGGCCTGAACCCTGCCTGCCCTTGGCAGCATGCCCACCCAGGACTGATGCTCCCCACCAGGGATGCCCAGAGAGCTACTGCTCACCACTCTGGGGGTCATTAATCTCCACCCAACTTATTCCTGCAGCTTCTGTGGAATGGGCCCTCTTCCCTGACTGATGCTCTGCCTGGCAGATGTCACACGATCCCAGGGAGTTAATCTTCTCTCAGGCCCCATCAAGTCTCTTCCCCACCCTGCTTGATGACAGTCACTGTACTGACTTTAGGTTTCTCTTTCTGTTACCCAAGATAACCTCGTTGACCGGGGGGGGGCTGGGATCCCTAGAGTGTGTGCAGAGTGGGGATGAAGAAATCCTGGGGGGAAGCCCACCTGGAAGCCCAGCAGGATGCACAGGTACCAAGACGGCACGTCCTCGATCTTGTACAACATGTCAAACTTGGGCTCTGTGGGCAGGGGCATCGGGGGTTCCCTGGTGGAAGTGCCTGCTGAGCCCAGGGACTCATGCTGGGAGCAGCAGAGAAAAATAGCTCAGGGTAGAGTGATGGGGACAAGCAAAGTCTGTTCTGCCCCAGAATTAGTCAGGTAGCCCGAGTTGCCTGTCAGCAACTCACACTGGGGTCTGAGCCTGGGGTCTCTAGCCACCCCCATAGTCCATCCACTGGTTGTCACTTGGCCTGGCTGCACCTAACTCCCACTTCACTTGCTTCCTGCAGGGATCAGTCAACTAAGCTGGCTTTGAGAGCCCTCAGGACCTGGGCATTCTAGCCAGGATAATGGGCCCCTAAGTCAGATGACCTGAGGGGTACCAGGAGAAGGGGATGAGAAGGCTCAAGACTGTGGGCAAGCCCATTCCAGTCCCACCTCTGCCCCTGGAGGTCCCTGGGGTAACATAGGGGGTGGAGGTGGGGGGCTGGGTCTCCATCGGTGCTCAAGCTGTAGCCAGCCAGTCCCAAAGCTGAAGGCTCCTTCACCCCCACCTCTACCCCATCTCCCGATTTGCCACTTTCAGCTTGGGACAGTCACTCCCTATTAAGTTCATCTGAACCTTTGTCAGCCCTCCCAGAGAGAAGGTCTGCACAGGCCCTTCAGCCCCCACCTGCCCTGCCCCCACCCAGTGCCCACCCATCCCCCAGCACCTGTGTCTGGCCCTCGGAGTCCTCCTGGGCCGTCATCGTTGGGGCACAGGTTTGAGCAGTTCCTGAAGCGAAGAGGGGATGACTTTACAAAGGCCAAGGAGGACTTTACTCCACACATCAGACATTGTTCGAAGTAAATCTGTAACCAGATCCCTAGCGCTGGATTGCGTAAGGGTGCGAAAGGGGGGCCCCCAGGCGGAGGTAACGTATTAACCCTGGCTGTAGTGGTAAAGGCCGCCCAAGCCTCTGCCACGTTTGCCTCCTGAGCACTCTCTTCCCTGCCTGCACCCGAGCCTGGGCACGGGACCCGTTCTTGTTTTCCAAGAGAAGGCCAGAGTCAAGGGGGTGATGAGGGGACAATCTTGGAAGTTTACCAAGCCCTGGGTGATGTGAGAGAAAAGGTAGTGGAAATGGGCACTTATTATGTAACATCCTGTACGAGGTCCTTCCCCACTTATTAATAACAAGTTAATCATTATCATCATCATCATCATAACCATTCTTGTTACTGAGGAATGACCTTGTACCAAGCAACGCATAGGCACTGTCATATGTAACCTTGGTGCTGGGTGGTATTAACCCGTTTACAGTCCAGGAAACAGATTTAGGAGATGTGACTTGACCAAGGCCACACATGTAGCAAGTTTAGAAAACCAGTCCTAAAATTCAGGTTAGTCTGAAGTGCCCTCCCTGCACTGTCCCTCGCCCCTCAGGGTCCCTGAGGCATGCAACAGACTGGCCTCTACACTAAGACAGAGCTGCCTAAGCTGGTCTGGCCTGACCCCCACCCTGTGTCAGGACAAGGATTTCCTTCCTGTCCCAGCCATGACCAGCTACATAATCTGTGGGACTCAGTGCAAAACGAAAATGTAGGACTCCTGTTCCGAAGCATGAAGAATTTTACGGGGGGCCGAGTACGTCAGCCCCACCCTACCTTTCACCTCCCCTCCACAACAACATCTTAGAGTGTAATTATTTGTTCCCTATCAATTGACATAAAAATTAGAAAAAAAATTTAAATTAAAAAAAGAAGAATTTTTTCTTTTGGTGGCTGGCCGGTATGGGGATCCAAACATTTGCCCTTTGTGAACGCGGTTACAAGGCTGCGTTCTAACCAACTGAGCTCACCAGCCAACCCACAAAAAAAGAATTTTAAAAGAGCAACGGCAGAGCGTTGGACGGAGCACGGGGCCTTTCTAAGCACCCGGCCCTATGTGACTGCATGTCACACAGCCCAGGAAGCCAGTCCTGTCCCCAGCCTGTGCCCCCCTGGCAGACTCAGCCCAGCCTTGCCGTAGGGCCTGAGGCCTGGTGGAGAGGGAGATGAGGAGGGCCCCAGGGAGCTCCAGCTTCTCAGCTGGTGGCGGCTGGGCCTGTACCCCTCTGAGCTGTCCCAGCCCCAGCCACTTTCGGGTCCACCTACTTCTGAGTTGCTGTGCCCACGGGCAGGCCCTGCCCCAGGGGCTCACAGGAAGCACCGCTCTCCAGCTGGGCAGCAGCTTCATGCCACAGCCTTGAATCCTTCTGCCTGTCCGGCCTCCAGCCCGGTCCTCTGTTGCCTGTCTTCTCTTCCTCTCAGCTCCTGCTCCCAGGTTCCCAGAGTTGTCTGACCAGTTCGAAGCCTCTGCAACTCTCCAGCACTTTCCTCCCCACCCTCTCTTCCCAGTACTCCCCAGGAGGGCTGTGGAAGCAGAGCCCTACCTGCTGCGGACACAGCTCCACAAACAGTTCAACCCAAACCACACAACAGCACACACAGACGAGGCTGGGAAGTTGCACATGGTCCCAGATACACAGTAGCACAAATGACCCAGAACACCCACAGTCTGATGCAGAGTCTCTCTAAATCACTCTACAGGAACACAGGGTCACACAGGTCCACATCACAGGTGCCCAGCTCCATACCTGATACTACTGATGGCTCAGCTGATTCCTTGGGCCCTGGCTGTCCTCCTGGTACCTAAGGGTTCTCTCCTGGGGTAAGGCCAGGGAAGGAGTCGCCACGGGCAGATCCCGGAACAGGTGCTGGGATGCAGGGGGCTGGGGCTCCAGTGCATCTCAGGGAAGCTGCAGTGGTGAGTGCCTTCTTTGGGTCACCTCCATTCCTCCAGCCGCTGACTTTCCCCTCACTGTCCAAATCCGAAACCCCTCCTAGCCCTGCCACCACTCAGCCTGGGACTTGGCCTGAGTCTCTTTTGTTGTTTGTCAAATGGGGATTAGAGCGTCTGTTCTGATTACCTCCCAGAGCTTCAGCAGATCAGAGACACTCACAAAGGAAACTGCAAGTTATAGCACCACTGGACCCCAGGTTCCCAGACCTAGGTGGGGCCCAGGGCTCTGTTCCTAAGGAAAGAGCCTCCAGCCAGAAGAATTTCTGGGGAGAGCAGGACTGAGAGCCAAGATACTGAATCCAGCTGGTTCCAGGAAACCTACCCTGCCCTGTCCTGTGCCAGGCGGGCACCCAAGGCCCAACCATACTAGCTGGAGTTAAAGGCATAGTGTAGAAAGTGAGCGGTTACTGGGCGTAGACCAGTGAGACATGTGTTCTGGGAAGGGCACAGATAGTAAGGAGCGGTTGGAGTAGGTGTGGCTACAAGGTGGCCTGCCTACAGAGTTTTTTAGTTTTCTCTCTCCATGGATCTGAGGACTTGGGATGTCACTGTGTATATAACTGGTTCTATATGCCTTGGACAGCTTGCTTACATTTCCATCCATGACAGCTCTCTCTTATCTCTGAGAAGTTGTGGGGATGTGTATTTGGTCCTCTCTAGGAGAAACATCAATCATCAGAAGAAACACCAATGTCTGTCCTCTCAGTCCCCCAAGCATCTTTTGCAGAAAGAAGGAATCAAGATCACTGGGTTTTATTTAAGTTTGGATGGGAAGGCCTTGGCCCCTACCCAGTGCCCCAGAGCTAGAGGAGGGAGGGAGGGAGAGTGGCAGCACAGAGCAAGGCCTCCCTGCCCTCCTGGCAGCCTGCAGACAGGAATGGGGAAGATCCAGAGGAAGCCCCAGCTTCTCTTCAGGGGAAGGAGGAGTTGAGGACTAGAGTTCTTCCCTTATGACAGGAGCCTCCTCTGAGCAGGCCCTCTGATGGCCCCCACACAGCAATGCCTCCAGAGCCCCTTGGCCTTGTTGGTGGACTTCATAGATCTGGTCTTCTCCAAACTCCCCCAAGTACTGCCAACATGTCGTGGAGAGCCTAGAGGAGCCCAGAAGGAGCCTCAGATTCTGCCCAGACCATGGGGGAGGGAAGGCAACCCAAAGCTCCAAGGACTCCATCCCATCCACCCTCTGCCTGTCATCACCTGATGGGCCAGGGGCCCCCTGTGATCATCACGCTGATGCTTGGTTCTGTCCCCTTGCTAAGCCCTGGGCCCGTGAGACGTTTCACCTGGTTCACCTCTCGAACCCCGTAGCTGGCAGCAGTGGGGAGGAGAGGGGTACAGCATTGGTGGGAGCCCAGTCCCACCATTGGTGGGAGTCTCCACACCAAGCTGGACACACTGGGCATTTGCTGAGTTCACAGAGGGAAAGCCCCTGGCCCAAGTTTGCACAGTGACCTTGTCTGCTAGCCCTCTGCTCTCCCACTTGCTCCCAGCTCCAGAGCCCAGATTTCATGCCCGCCAGCACCCTCCCTGGGACCAGAGCCCTAGTGGAGTGTGTGCGTGGTATGAATGGGTGAGTGAGGATCTCCACCCACCAGCCCTGCCCTTGGAGGAGGGAGGCAGGGGTCCGATTGGCAACTCACTCCTGCCAGTTCTGGGAGCAGCTCCTGTCCAGGACATCTGTGTATATCAACTCGCTCAGCTTCCGCTGACCCCTGGAGTCTGGGGTATGAAGTCTGGCCTCTGCCTTTGCCAGATGTTGCCACATCTGGAACAAGGAGGGGCTGGGAGCCAGGGCTTTGGGACTGCTGCCAGATTGGGGGGAGGAGGGAGGACAGGGGAAGATGAGGGGGCAAGGGAGCCATTTGATCAGCCCTTCCCCCAGATCCCCAAAGCTGGGAAGAGCAGGATCCACTCTCCTGGGATGGGAGTTTGGGGTGGAAATGCTGAGGTGGAATGTTAGGCCTGGGCACTGGGCCCCTCCTCCAGGCACACCTGCCCAGTAGCACATGCTATTTTAAACCACAAGAACAAGGAAAGAAAAAAAACCCAGCCAAATCTTCAATGGTACGTGCACTCACAGGCTCCACATATAGAGACATAGGCATGCAGCCATGCTCAACAGGTTCATGTGTGAACTCAGACACACGCATGCTCATACACACACCACTCAACGCATGTGCATTTGTGCACCACATATACATGTGCAAAGGTACCCCAGTCAGGATTGGGGAGGAAGTTTAGATCTGAGAATGGGCCTGACAAGGGAGGAGTCTGAGAGGACAAGCAGGTGATTCCCTACGGTCTTGAGATACTGTGGGGGTGTCCCAGATTGTCTGCTCTCTGCTGGGCAGGCAGATGGGTAAACTGAGACATGGAGGCTCAGGTGAGGTGGGGATGGCAATATCATGGGAAGCTGAGTTTGGGACTTGATGCCCAGTGGGGGATGGGGGTAGAAATCAAAGGCTAGTAGGGGAATCTTGGGTAGGTGGAGGGGTCTGGGCAGGGGCAGGAGGGATTCCTGGGGGGAAGGACTCACTTGGTAGGCCACGGCCCTGCAGGCGTCACAGCGCAGGTGAGCAGGCATGTGAGCTGAGTACTTTTCCTCATCATCCAGCTGTGGGGCAGTGGCTGTGAGCTGGGCCCTGTCCCCAAGGCCCCTTGGGATGGCCCAGGCTCCCAGCAGTAGTAGCAGTGGTAGTGACAGCCTCATGGCCTCCGGAGCCAGCTCAGCAAGCAGGAACTGGTTGGGTGCAAATGTGCATGTGCATGTGGGTAGTGGGGACTGCCACAGAACACCTGGCCCAGACCAATGGGAGACCGACACCTCACCCTGCCATTCTCTCCCTCCCCCAGGGCCCTGGAGATGCTACGTGTGCACTTCCTCTAGCAAGCCCCTTGCTCCAGCCAGCTCAGCTCCATTTCACAGATAGGGAACAATGAGGCAAGGAGAGGGGCTAGGCCTGGGCAAGGACATATAGGAGGCTGATACCTCCCACATCCTGTGATCTGGCTAAGTGGCAGGCACTGTGCTGAGCACCTTGTGGGAGGAGTCTGTTGCTCACTGTCATCTTTATTTTGCCCCTGAGGACATGAAGGCGCAGAGAGAAGTGACAAAGCCATGGCCCCACAGCTAGAGGGGCCATGCTGAGATTGGAACCCAAGCATGATTGACCCCAAAGACCCATTGGCCACTCAGCCACGAGGAGGAATGAGGCTGCAGGTGTGGTTGAGCTCCCACCCTGGACGCACATGGTCTCTTTCCCTGGCCCTAGGGTCCTCTCCACCCAGGCCATACCCAGGCACGGAAGGGCATTGTGGAGGGTAAGAGGCCGCAGTATGAAATTAGGCACCTCACACCAGTCATTTCAACCTTCATGGGTCCATGGGTCAGCGATTTATTGCACACCAGGATTGAGGCAAGGTGTCCCGGGGTGGCCCCAGGGCCCTCTATGCCATCAGAACCAACATCTCCAGCCAAGAGATGGCCAGGTTACTCTGATTCATAGTTCCAGTCAGCTTCCAGTCCAGCGCAGGGGGACAGGGACTCTAAGGGACCTGAGCCCCTCAACAGGCCTGGAATGAGGAAGGCATCCCCATCCCAGACACCACTTCTGATGGAAACTGTCCTTCCCCAAACTCATCACATCACACACCAGTCCAACAAGGCCTAGCCATTTCAGGCTCAGAACTGCACACAGACCCCCACACAGACCACCTTCCCATCTCATGCAGATCCCCTCATCTCCCTCAGCCCTCTTCAGAGGCTCCTGCAATCTCAGGGCAACTGAAGTGCATGCTTCAAGTGCTGTCCCTTCCTGTGCTGTGACCAGGCTGCAGGGCCAGCCCCTCTTCGGGCATTGTTGCCACATGTGCTACTGGGGGAGTGGAACCAGCTGAGAGCGTCAGACACCTCTGGCCTACTGCACACAGGGGTGTTCCTCCTACTGCCAACCCTAACCCATCCTCTAGCCACCCAGAAGGGTCAAGAGGCTCCTCTGCGATGACAGCCCAACCATCCTCCCTCTTGTAAGTGCTTTCTGATGACTCATTTCACCTGCCCCCTACCGGGATAAGAATAGCTGAACCCCCACCCCTGGCCCCAGGATAAGCCAGCTCAGGTCTGAGGGCTTGGAGGAGAAGCTAAGTCCAGCTCCCAGCTGGAGATGACAGCCACCTGGGCCCACCTCACACACACACACTTGAACCCCAAATCCAAATCCCAGGCAGACCCACCATAGTCCCTCCCTATATCACTTCCTTATCCACCTCCACCTGCTGTCCTCACAGCTCCCTTTCTCAGATCCAGCCTGGCCTGGGGGCTGCACCGGTGACTTTCCCCCATAGCCTCCCAGGCCAAAGCTCGGTTCCTCTTCAAAAGAACAGATATGATAGCCAGAGTCCTTCCCCTCCTTCTCACCAGTGCCCATTGGCCTTGCTCCATCTCAGCGGGGCCCACCTTCGGAGGGATAGACAGTTCACTACCCTGGGGGCAGCCCTGTCTCCTGCTGCTCCCTGGGGAACCCCAACTCCTCCTGGGGAAAAACACTGGGGCTCCTCACTTTTACATATTTGCTTGCCTGCACACATGCGCACACACATCAACACGCTACACCCTGGGAATGCTTGGGAAAGGGATATACAATTTCGTTGGGGGAGGAAGTAGACAGCCACTTCCCGAGCTCCAGCTCCATCAGCCCCCGGTCTCTGACATTCTCTAACGGTCACTTCCGGTCTGACCAGTGGCTGGGATGGGCCAAAGATAGAGGCAACGGAAGGAAAGGAGGGCAGGGGACTAGATGCCATAACCTCCAAGGCCATCAACAGGCCTCAACTCCGTGGGGATTAGTTCCTAGGGCCTCACAACGGGAACAGGGAGCCCTTGCCCGGCTGGGCGGGACCTGAGCTGGAGGGAGGGGCACAGAGGAGCAGAGGAGGTGCCGGGCTGGGGGTCCCGCTCACCGGCAGGTAGTACATCCCGTCCAAGGGCCCTGCCTCAGTGGCCCAAGGTAGCTGGGGGCTGCCGAGGGCCGGAGGGCCTGGGGACGGCGGCAGTGAGAGGCCAGCGATAGGCCCATAGGCGGGCGGGTAGAGGCCGGGCCCCAGGGCCAGCGGGGTGTAGATGCGGCGGGGCGGCCCCGGGGACGAGGGCGGCAGCAGCACCTCCACGTACTGCCCGCTCTCTGGGTCGAAGAGCAGCCGCAGCCGAGGCTGCCGCGGCACCTCCACAAAGTAGTAGCGGCCGCTCTCTGGGTCCACCAGGACCTTCCCCGGGTGCGCGGCCGCGGGCGGTCTGCGCACCCCCTGGGAGGGGCCTTGCGGGGACCGGTCGGTGGGAGGCGCCGAGGCAGCGCGGGGCTGGGCAGGGGTCGTCCTGCCGGCCGACACCTGGGGCTCCCGCGGGAGGGGCGCCTGGACGGCAGGCGCGGGCTCGGGGGCCGCAGGGCGTGTCTCCAGTTTGGGTGCTATCCCAGGGCTTGAGTTGGGGTGCGCCTGAGGGGAGCTGGGGCGGGGCGGTCGGGCCCCTGCTGGCCCTATGGGGGACGGCTGGGGTGAGGTGCGAGCGCCGCCTAGAGGGCTGGTCCGACCCTCGCCGTCGGGGACGAGACGCTGGGCCCCCGCATCCCGGTTCTCTCCGATAGGACCGCGCACTCGGACTCCCGGGGTCCTCTCGGGCCGTCGGACCAAGGCCAGGGCACCAGGTAGGCGGATCTCTGTGCGCGCGAAGGGTTTCGCCGTGCTGTTCTCTGCCCTCCGCCGCAGGGTCCCGTTGGGCTGCGAGGCATCCCGGGGGACTGTGTCGAGGCACGGCTCTGGGGGCTCATAGGGGTGCGGCACGACCGGAAGAAAGTCCTTGATAAAAACGGAAGTGTAGTGAGCCGAGGCGGGGGACCCCAGCGCCTGAAGCTCTTGCGTCTTGGGGGCGCCGCCCTCCTTCCCGCAGGTGTCAGCAAGAGGTGCAGGCACCCCAGAGCCGAGGGTTTCCGCCGGGAAACTGGGCGCGTATGTGGTCTTCACTATCTTGCGCACATCTCGGGGCCGCGGAATGGCCACGCGCGGGCGTCCCGGGGCCGCTTCTCCAGAGCTCAAGGCTTCTGCACGCGCATCGGAGTCCAGGCTGCCCATGAGGTGACTGCGGGAAGGCTCGGGTGCAGCCACCTCTGGCGACGGCTGACTGCCTCGGAAGGCAAGATCTGAAACCTCCCCCGTGGGTGGACTCTGCACCTCTGTTAGTTCTGGAGTCTCGAGTGCGGGTGGTGTAGGCGGCGCCAACTCCTCCTGAACGACGCCATTCAGAGCTTCCCGCGTAAATGCTGTGGATGAGTCCGGCACCATGGGATCCCACGTCTCTTGGGGCGATGGGCTCCACGTTCCAACAGGACGATCTGGAGCCTCCCATGGGAACAAGGCCTGCGGGGACTGGCTCCTACCCGGCTCTTCTGCATTCCCGACTGCCGGATGCGGAACCTCCGACGGGGAAGGAGCTTCGGGGGATGGGCTCCTTGCCCTGGCAATACCCTGATTCCACTGGGGAAGAGCTGGAGGGGAAGGGTTCCTCCTGCTGACAGTTTCCTCGACGGCGGTATTCCGATTTTCCCACGCGGAGCATGCTTCAGGGAACGACGGGCTACTCACCCTCCTATTAGTCCGATCCCACGGGGACAGGTTCTGGGGTGACGGGCAGCGAGGACCCCGCACGGCCCCATTTGGAGCCTGCCACGGCGGGGATGGGATCCTCGGCCTCACAGGCCTACTAGGAACCTCCCAGGGAGCCCTATACTCGAAAGGTGGACTCCGTACCCCATGGATTGTTTTACTCGTAGTCTCTCGCGGGAACCGAGCCTTGGGTTCCTGGTTGCGCGCCTCCTGGATCTTCTCCTCTGACTGCAGGAAGATGCTGGAACTAACAGGACCCAGTGGCTCGATCCCGGGTGCGGGCTTGTCGCGCCGAATCGCGCGTTCGCGGAGGCTGGGCCACGGCCGTGGGGCTCTAGCGGGGGCCGAACTATCTTGTACGCGGGGTGGCCAAGGCCTAGCCTCCTCCAGGACCACGCGGGTGCTGGGGGCCGTTTCCCGTCTCGCGGGTTCCGGCCGCCGGGTGGGCCCGAGGGTGGCGTTGTTTGGGGCCGGGGCCGCTGGGCTCAGTTTCCTGGCCAGCGCCGTCTGCACGAGGCTCGCGGCGGCCTGCAGGCGGCCCAGAGACTCGTCCAAGGACCCGGTGCGCAGAAGCAGTCGGGGACACGGCCCGGAAGCCACCTGAGGGGGACTGCGGGGCCGGGGGCGCAGCTCGATCTGACGCTTAGGCACCGTCCGGGGCCTGGAGGGTGCGGTGCTTTCCTCCAGCGCCACCTCCACACACTCGAACTGAGCTGGGGCAGCAGGACTCGGCCTGCGGGGCCGCAGCTCCAGGTAGGTGGCCCAACGGGAGCCACCGTCGGGATCCTGGGGCTTCGGGAGGACGCGGGCGGAAGGCGCTGGCCCCGGCGGCGAAGGGCTGCCGAAGGCCGGCGCCGTGAGCTGTTGCACATTGCGATCCTCCGCGTCGGAGCGGCTGAACAGGGGGCCGGCGCTGAAAATGACTTCCATCTCCCCCGACGGCAGCGTGCGCAGCTGCGGCTGGGGTGGTGGCCGCGGGCCGGAGCCCGAGCCTCGCGGGAAACCCGAGCCGGGCCAGTGCTGCTGGCGGCTATTCTGGGCGCTGACGGACAGGCGAGGCTGCGCACCCGCCCCCCGCCCAGGGGCCACCCAGGGCCAATCTGCTCGGCCTTCTGCGTCCGGTCCAACGTCCCGGGGCTCTGGAGAGCCCGGAGCCGTGTGGTAGGAGCCTGACGAACCGGAGGAGTCCTGGCGCCGCGCGGGGACCGCGGGCAGCCGCCTCGGGAGCCCAGGCAGGGCTGGCGGGGCGAGCCTTGTCAGCATGGTGGGGCCAGACGCCGCGCACTACCTCCCTCGCATTCGCCTCAGCTGGTGGTGCCCGCACTGTCCCCGCCCCGCCGAGGATGCCGTGGGGTCACCGCGCCTTAAAGCGGCCGCCTCCACTCCCGGGCCAGCAGCGTCAGCAGCAGGAGAGACCTGGGCTCTACCTCCCCGCCCCCTTCCCCGTGCCAACCCAACCGCTTCTTCTCCCGCACCAGCAGGATGGCCTGGGTGGGACTCCAGGCTTTGGCTGACAGGCAGGTGAGGAGAAAGCAGGCCCAACTTTGGAAACTTTGGAGCCAGGAGTTAGGCCCAACTCCACCCCATTACAGGTGAGAAAACCAGCATAGGGTGTGCAGATCAGGGTTTGAGCCAGGAAACCAGACCTTCAGGCCAGGCAACTCAGGTCTTGCTAGCAATTTCATCTTCCCTTCAGTCCCCAAGTATCTTCACCTCACTGCAGAGTCCCCCCCTGACCCCTCATCACTTGCCCCAGCAAGAGCTCATAAGTGTGCACCAACCACCTTCCTTGACCCCAGTCACACACACACACCCCACAACCTTTGACAGGGTAAGGAACATTGCTAGAATACTCCCCCAACTCCAAAAGTTGTGCTGGCGCCTCAGGAATGTGCTGTCCCTGGATGGACCCATTGCCTTTAGTAGGACCTATTTGAAGGGGCTGGAGTGGACAGCTGTAGCTTTTACAAGCTACCATCACACCCAGAATAAGCCCTGGATACTGATGTGGGTCCCTTGGGAACCTTTGGGGTAGCTTATGGTCCCCTCTGTAAAGCCCCCTGGGAACAGCCCTGTGCTCCCCTAGGCATTCGCTAGGCCCTCATTCCAGCCCCCACAACCTTAGGACCTGCCCTGGGCACAGGCACTGGTGGGGAAGCAGCCACCACCTGTCATTATCTTACAGTGGGCACCACTTGCCCTTAAACTTCTGGCTTCAAGGTCCTGCTGACTCAGGCCCCAGCTGGCCCTCGAGCAGAGCACTGGTCCCTCCTGTGCCCGTACCCACACATTGACCCAGGAGAGGCCAAACTTGATAAATTTGACTCAGCATCCCCTGAAGTGGGCCTGGGTGTGTCCCCATGATCACCTAGGGCACACTCAGTGATGGCTCCTGAAAGGATCTATCCCATCCATAACATTCAGCCCTGCCTGTGCAACTCGAGCAAGTCCTGGCCCCTTCCTAGACTGTTTCCCCACCTTAAAAATAGACACAGAATTGTTCTTTTCCCTTCCTGCCATTTGTGAAGACTGATGAGCATCTGTTTGGGGAAGGTATAAGAAGGTACAAATATGATTCATGGGTATAACATTCTTGTTACGTGATGGAAACCGATTTGCCGAATTCACTGGTCCTGAAACCCACTGTCTTTAGTCTCTGGTCAGGGACACACACACACACACACCACACACACACACACACACACACACACCACAGCCTTTCCTGCCCTACAGCCAAGTTGGGAGAATAAATTACCAGGGCACTGAGTGATGTGGGATATTACTGGGGTAACCATGGCTGTTTATATAGGAACAAATTAAATACCAAAAATACCAATTAAATGTCTAGTGCCTACTAGACAACAAAGACCTGGCTCCTCCCCAGGCTACAACCCCACAACCCCATGGCCCCTACCACTACCCAAGGGAGGGAGGGAAGTAGCAGGAGCTGGAGGCTTGAGCAGCATCCCCTTCTGAGCCCAGCAGTGGCCTAAGGTCTGTCCCCTACCAAGTCCCCGGTGACTTGACTCTCAGTTCACCAAGGCTTAGGAGGTAGACAGGCAGGCAGGAAGTGTCTGCTGCCTCTTCCCCTGCCACTTCCCTAGAGGTGAGGCCTGGGGTGAAGGAACCCACAGGGATAGGAAGGGCTGGGTTGTGGACTCCCCAGAGGAGAGAAGGCAGAGGTTGGGCATTACAGCCAGAGAATAGGAAGGCGATGATCATTTTATTTTTCCCTGAGACGCCGGTGGCTGTGGGCCTGATGCATTCCCGAGTTTTTCTTATGCTTCTGGTCCAGCACCTGGGCCATGTAGTTCTCCTGCTGCTTCTGGATCCGGAAGTCAGACATGTGATTCCTGCAATGGAGCCGGCTGGTCGTGGGCTGCAGACAGCCCAGTGCAGGGGCCAGAGGTCTGGCTCCCCACTTCCATCAACAACCCCCAGCCTGGCCCGGACCCCTCACCTGAAGATCTGTTTCTGCTGGTTGATAACTTGCTGCAACTCCTTAATCTCATTCTCTTTGCCATTAAGTATATCTTCTTGCTTTATAATGTGAGACTCAATTTCTGTGGGGGAGAGAGGCAGGGAGGAGGGGTGGTTCCCATCCCAAGGGCTCTTTCCTAAGGTAAGGCATTCCTTCACGGACTTTTCAGAACATGGCTCCTCCCACCCAGCGGTTCTCCATGAATAGTTGCTAATACCTTACAGTGAATGAGTCTATTATGGAGTCTTGGGACGGGGAAATGTCTGATGATTGTGTCAGTGGCTTCACAACTCTATTCTGGACCAGGGGACACATATGAGGGCAGGCAAAGGTCTTTGGGGAGAGATGGGAAGCCTCAAAGATGAATGGCTCCTTCTCTCAACTCCTGCAGGTCTTTATAGATATGTCACCTCCTTGGTGAGACCCTTCCTAGTCTAAAAATTACAACCTTTCCCAATACTTCCTATCCCCTTTTCCTGCTTTAGCACTTCCATCTAACACACCATATATTTTACTTATTTGTCTTCTCCCCTCTAGGATGTAAGGTCCACAAGGACAAGAATTTTTGTTTTATTCACTGCTTTATGCCTAAGGCCTAAAACATACCTGGCACAATAAATGAAAAAATGGGATGTGCCCTAAGGGTCTAGGACTTAGAAACATCAGCTAGTTCAGTCATTTCAATTCAACCAGACCTGTTAAGGGCCAGCTGGATGCCCAGCCCTGTGCTAGGGCTTCAGGGATGGTTAGAGAAAATGGGGTCCCAGCCCTTAAGGAGGCAGCTCCTGAGAGGAGAGTTAAGACTCAGGAACTTATCAGAAAATAGAACAAGGCTACATTTCAGTAAAGTTAACGTTGATGAGACGGTATCACCATTTTGAGCAAGTTGTGTCCCTTTTCAGACCTGTTTCCTCATCTGTACGAGGCAGACAGAGACAGTTCTTATTCTACAGTGGGGTTGGATGGTGAGGAACCCAGTGAGATAGTGCTGGCAAAGCCTATCCCCCAAATTAAGTGCACATTGGATGCAAGGATAATTTTTTTGTCTTGGGTCAAAATCCAAGGAGGCTGTAAGGATCTGGAGGTGCTTCATTTATATAACTGCCCCTTATGGAGCCCTGGAAAATTCTGATCCACGCAGGAAGAAAATCCCATTGCCTTTAAAGGTTGGATAAGAATTAATTAACTAGAACACAAGCTCTGAAAATGCAGAAATGCTAAAGCATTTAAGATTTCAAAAGAAGAGATCTGGTAAAAAGTTAAGTCACAACATAGAAAAGAGGAAAGAGACACAGGTGAAGGGGAGAGAATGAAACTTGAGCTCACTGGGTCATGGCACCAGACAGTTGAACCTGCTTCCCAAGGTCATCCAGCTAATCCTGATTAACTGCTTGTGAAGGTCTTTTGGGAACAAAAATTAGAAATTTATGTGACTCTCACAAGCCTGTGGCACCTGATGAGAGAATGGTTTAAAAATCCCTTTGAGAAGAATAAATAACTATGTCAGTGTAAAAACTAAACAAAAACCACACAAGGGGAGGTTGTAGAGGTAAGGTGGAGTTGTGGGCATGGGCCAGGGTGAGGTTCAGATTGGCTCAGGTGGGGGCTTGTGACCCTCTGAAGGGGGGGGGGTCATGATATTCTGGAGGGAGGCAGCCAGGCCCTGTCTTGATGATACACACCACTTCCACAAGCAGATACAGAGCCTTGTGGCTTGACTGATCTCCTGCAGGAAGGAAATGCCCTAGAGGAAAGATGTCTCTGGCTCTACCTGGGAAGAACCCCAAGTTCATTTTAGGGAAAAAGGGATTGCCTAGGAAGAGGGAAAGGACTAGGGGACCAGCAGCCTTTGGATGGAGGCAGTGACTACCTGTTGGGTCCTAGGAGGCCCTGGCAGGGGCCACTGGTCCAACAACTCTGGGGCCTGTCAGCCTGCCTAGCCAGATCAAGATGTCAGCCTGTTAGCATCTTCCCAGTGACAATACTCATCAGGCGAGAGAAGAGGCTGAATTGGTGGGTAGGGGGTGCCTAAAGCTCCAGGTGGGAGTCCTACCAGGAAGAACCCTGAACCTCTTTTGGGCTTTGTCTCTGGCCTACTCAGGATCTGCTGCAGTGAATGAAGCAGATGTTGCACATGGAATTCATATCTACTTCTTATAGGTAAGGGGGTATTTGAGCAGTCCAGGAAAATGAAAGGGGTTCCTGAGGTCTAGAGACACTGGGTAGCTGACTCTGAAGGTGCCCCGTTGGTGCCAACAAATGGGCCACAGACATCTGTATAGAACAGAGTTGAAAACTGGGGGCCCACAGACATATTTTACTTGGCCCATATAATACTTATAAAATGTCTAAATCAGTTGCTGATGCTAAAAAGTCAGAAAAGCTTCCATTAAAACTTGGTTTCCAGCTTATTTTTTAAAGCTCTGGCAACTTAGGTTCCCATTCCCACAGGGGACAGGCTGAACTTTGAGAAGGGGCATAGCTCTCCATGTCACCACAGTCCTCATTCCTCCCTATTGAGTCCCCACCCGAGACTAAAGGTCAGCTCCCAAATAAGACAGTGCTTGCCCTGCTGTTCCTCTTGTAACAGAGTTAGGAGTGAAATACACTATTTCTAATACCCATCCAAAGTGGGAAAACAAAAGGTGGACTAAGAAGGTCATACGTTTCAAGAAAAATGGGAGCGAGCCCGTTCCTTTATGGTCATGAAGAATATTGTACACCGACTGCTTCCCTCATTTCCGTGGCCTGCCTGGTCCCTGAAGACCTTTTCGAAGGTGTGGCCCACCTGGGCCTGCCTGTATCCTCAGCCGGGGACAGAAGTTGGGGTGAAACCCTGCCCTTGACACAGTTGCTGGGCTATTAGGAAAGAGCCCATGTATGTTAGCG